CAGAAAGCTTTACCACAGTATTAAAAACTGCATCTGGTTATTACCTGAACCGGCCCGGGCTGCCGAATATTCATTGTTTCCAGATCGGACATGTTTCGATATTAACACTTTCAGCTCCTCTAAGCCGTTTTTAAGTGCGTTGTGTGTCGGCAGAAAGTTGATCAGAAATTCTTTGCAAATTCCGCAAGCATTCTTCAAGAATGCTTTTTTTCTCGCTCTCCACATAACCCACAATGAAAAACTCTTTCGATATTGTGGCATTTTCTCACAATTTTGTCCAAAACTGCCAGCACCATTGAATCTTCAGGCAATTGTTTGAACAGCTTAGTACAGCCAATAAGAGGCTTACACGCAATCTCTTACTTCAGATATCTAAAATTGTAATACTGACTAGGCATAATTACGTTCGAGATATCTTAAATTATAATTACCGATGTGTGACGCTTTAAATGAGGAATCCGGTGACGTAATTTGAGATATCTTGAAAGGAATTTTGACTAGTCAAAATGTGATTGAAGATATCTTGAATTATTATTCTTCCTAATCAGATTGTAAATAGAGATATCTTAAATTACTGTTCCGGATAGTCAAAATGTGGTTTTGTCTAGTCAAAAAGTATTTTAAGATATCTGGAACGTAATTATGGATAGTCAGACGAAACCGGATTTATGTTAAAACGGCTTGCCATACACGGCCACTTTCTGTAACGGAAGCCGAGGCTTTGAGGGAAATCAAGAAATATGGATCAGAAAACTACAACATAGTTAAGTTTTATAAATCCTTTTCCTACATGGAAAAGGAATTCCTTGTTTTTGAACAACTGGAATTGACCTTGAAAACATACATGGAGAAATCCAGACATGGCTGGCTGGATTTGTGTGAGATTCGAGTTATTGGTGGACAGGTATTGGTAGCCCTTGATTTTCTACACAAGGTGGGGATGGTGCATAGAGATATCAAGCCTAACAACATAATGTTGGTAAACAATGAATCTTTGAAAGTAAAGTTAATCGATTTCAGTTTTCTTTCAACACCAGAAAATGCTAATAGATTATATTGTTGTCCACTGTCTTATAGACCTCCAGAGGAGATTTTGAACCTGCCTTTGGAGCTAACTGTTGATATGTGGCTGTTAGGCGTCACTTTTGTCTATCTCTACTTTAAAAGATGCATCTTCAGAGGACAATTTTAGTCACAAGTATGGAGTAAAATTACTTCTCTGCTGTGTGAACCAGAGCCATTTGTGCTAAATGATGGGCTTGATACATTCCTTTACTATTCTAGCTATATTGAAAAGGGTGAGGTAATCTGGGTCCCTAAAAAATCAATTTAAAATCAAACATTTGGACAATAAACCAAATCCGTGGAGGATGTTCTAACATCCCTACCAGTAAAGGACGACTTTGAGAGGACAGATTTAACGTTTGATATGTGGTTGTAAGCCTATAAGCAAGATAGTCAGATAGTGTTCCTCCTGCTTAACATGGGGGGAACGGTATCTGATGGGCTTCTAAACCCCGTCGGATAGCGTTCCCCTCTTCTTAACATGGAAGCTTCAAAAGTGGGCGTGCACAATTGTGTGACTGTGACGTCACACAATTAGTCACATCAAGCCTATAAATAAACCAGGAATTTCTCCAACCTTAACAGAAGACCACACGTCTTTGGAGAGGAAGGTAGGACTTATTCCAATAGTAAAAAATTGTGGATGAAGATTTAAAAAAACTGTTTGACATAGAGGATGGTACCCAGCAAACACACACATTTGGGGCCCAAATGGGGCATAGTAGGGCTAATATTAGGGGCCCATTTGGGAAACCCAACTGGCACCCAACTAATTTTGTCCTCAGTTTCCATGGTGGCCCCAAGTGTGTTTGCCCAGATGGGTTTGTGATGGGCATTGAATGGGCCCCACATTGTGCCTAGCCAGCGATCACGTGGGAGCTAAATGGGTAAAACTGGGTTTAAATGTGGGGCCTGCTTGGGCTACCCACCTGGTACCCAGCTGTTTTTGTCCTCAGTTTCCATGGTGGCCCCAAGTGTGTTTGCCCAGATGGGTTTGTGATGGGCATTGAATGGGCCCCAGCTTATATCCTGACAAACACAGGTGGGGTCCAGATGGGTGGAAGCAAGGCTGATATTTGGGGCCCACTTGGATTCCCTACATGGGACCCGGCTATTTTTTATCCTTTTTAAAATTGACCTCCATTCCCCAAAGGTGCATATGATGGGATTTGGATGGATCTCATGTGAAAACCTACTTAATCCAAAAGGTTGATTTATAGTTTTTTCCACCATGGGTACAAAATATCCTCCATTTCCTCAAGAGTGGACCACAAACACCAATTCTTATGCATTTTTAGAAAGGCTATCCATTCTTTAATATTTAACAAAGCCTAGAGTTAAATTCCTAATTTGATAAAACTATTCTGTTAGTTCAATCTCTAACGTTATTCTCTCTCTGCTTTTCCTCAGAGTAGCCCTGCCTCGTCTGTTCCTGTTTGGCTGTGACGCCATCCTGGAGAGAAACATCAGCTGTGCTGCTTCCATCATCACCCTTGGCTGTAGATGCTGGAGATCGGGCTGTTTTCCAGTGTGGTCCTGTTTCTCTGACCGTGACTGGCTGGATGTGCTCTCTTCGTCCTCTGGCATGGGAGCTGGCTCGGAGCTCGTCTGCCTGGCTGTGTGTTTCCTGGACGGGGCCGCCTTTTACAGCTGCTTTTTGTTTCTCTGCTTCTGTCTCCTTGAACCCCAGTCGGCCTCGGCAGATGGTCGCTCACACTGAGCCTGGTTCTGCTGGAGGTTTCTTCCTGTTAAAAGGGAGTTTTTCCTCTCCACTGTCACTACAAGCATGCTTAGTGTGAGGGATTGTATTTGAGTCAATGCAATCAACTGTTTTCCTTAGATAGAAAACTTTGAATCAATTTCATTGTATAATCTGGTTGAACTTTAAAGTGCCTTGAGATGACGTGTGTTGTGAATTTGGCGCTATATAAATAAACTGAATAAGAATAAATAACTTGTACAACAAAGTCTGTTTGTTTTTTTTATTAAGAATGCTTAATATACAATTTTAAAACAGTAGGCTTCTTTTATGAAAAAACATATTTTGTTTAGAGAACATGTTGACAAAAAAGGTTACAGAAATGCACAAATATTCAAAATAAGTCGGTATGAGCTCTTTTGATAAAGAAACAGAAAACCACTCATCTTCCGATCTGTTGGTCCTGGAAAAACAAACAAATTAGTGCACTTTGTTTTGGGTGTTTTTTTTTTACAAATAGCATCAGATTTATTACTGGGTTAGACAATCAGCCTCTGAAAATTAACTGCTCTTGCTACTGGAATATAGTATTTCGAGCTCCAGTATCAACCCAGTCTCATAGGAAAATGTACCCCCACTACGTTGGTCCACACTGCAAAACGTAGTGGAGGTACATTAATGGCCATTTTTTTGTGGTACTGTTACATTTCTTCTGGCTATACGCTTTCTATTGTTTTACGTCCTAGTCACGTGACTTTCAAGATTCCAGCTGGGAGAAGAAAAAAAATATATGTATGGCCGACATTCGCTCATTTTTTTGTGGAAAGATTAATGACTTGAGTTTGTTTTTGCATTAAAATGAGTTTTGATTACATTTCTAGTGAGAAATGTATAGTTTGTTGCCAGAATATTTACTCAGGGAATGTACATATTCACTTGCTTGTTCGTTTCTTGCAAAGATTTTTCAAGATAATGTGAAAATGTAACGTTTTGGTATAAACATGGCTGAGATTTCTCTAACTTTTAGTGGGAAAATCAATTATTTCAATCAGTTTCTGCATTTAAATTGGTTTTGATTACATTTATAGCGAGAAGTGTAGGGTTTATTTACATAATATTTACTTAGTGAACATACATAATCACCCGCTTGCTAGTTTTTGCTACGGTTTTTCGGATCTTGTCAGGATTATGTGAAATTGCAACGTTTTGGCTGCTACCCATCGCCTAGCATTTAGCTGCCGCCCCGATTCAACATTTAATTCTTTGTGATTTAACTCCATCTGACGGATCAAACCCTCGCCACTGCGTGCGTTGCGTCTGAGGTTGATTTTCAGATGCATTACGTCGTGGCATACGGGAGAAACTAATTAAACTAGTTAAAAAAAGGATCATGGGTTAAGATCGGATGCGTTTTATTTGGAAATCTACCGGATCCTTTGTGCATTTAACTTCCTGTTTGGTGCGATCTCATTGATGGGTTTTGACCAGATTTTGCCAAAGAGGAACTAAAAAAAACCCAAAACAATTTAAATACACAACCAGCAGCTAATCAGGGCGGCAGCTAAATGCTAGGCGATGGGTAGCAGCCAAAACGTTTCAATTTCACATAATCCTGACAAGATCCGAAAAACCGTAGCAAAAACTAGCAAGCGGGTGATTATGTATGCTCTCTGTCATTGATTCCAGATATGCTGGTTGTGTATTTAAATTGTTTTGGTCAAAATCTGGTCAAAACCCATCAATGAGACCGCACCAAACAGGAAGTGAAATGCACAAAGGATCCGGTAGATTTCCAAATAAAATACATCCGATCTTAACCCATGATCCTTTTTTTAACTAGTTTAATTAGTTTCTGCCGTATGCCACGACGTAATGCATTGATCTGAAAATCAACCTCAGACGCAACGCACGCAGTGGCGGGTTTGATCCGTCAGATGGAGTTAAATCACAAAGAATTCAATGTTGAATCGGGGCGGCAGCTAAATGCTAGGTGATGGGTAGCAGCCAAAACGTTGCAATTTCACATAATCCTGACAAGATCCGAAAAACCGTAGCAAAGACTAGCAAGCGGGTGATTATGTATGTTCACTAAGTAAATATTATGTAAATAAACCCTACACTTCTCGCTATAAATGTGATCAAAACCCATTTAAATGCAGAAACTGATTGAAATTATTGATTTTCCCACTAAAAGTTAGAGAAATCTCAGCCATGTTTATACCAAAATGTTACAGTTTCACATTATCCCTGACATCCTAAACTGATTCAGGCGAGACAGAAAATGGGAAGATTCAAAGCATTTATTAAAAATAGCGTGCGGCTGCTTGTCAGCTGTGGCAGGGCCCCTGGATTCTCTGCAGAAGTAGAGGCTCAGGTCAGTCACTTTAAAACTCAAATGAGGAACAACAATCAGCAGGAAAGCCACCAACCTGGCAAAGCTCAGTCCAAGCCCAGAAGAAGGACTGAAGTCCAGAGGAGAGGGACTGACTGCTGTCTAACTACTGAGCTGGGACCAGAGATCCAGGAGAGAAGAGGAGCAGTGTCTTGCAGCAGCCAGAGCAGGCAGGGGAACCGATGGATCCAGGAGGGTAAATCCAAGCCGTGGTTAGAAGACAGGTCCAAGGTCGTCATTGGGCGGAATCCAGGTAACAGTCCAGAAACAGAGCAGAACAGGGGTGGCCAAAACTAAGAGGTCAGAAACAGGCAGAACTAAACACATACAGGAAAGCTAGAATTAGTTTTGTTTGAAGCTCCAATAATCTTGCACCAGAGGCTGGGATCCCGAGGCTTAAATAGCAGCAGGAACAGGTTGATCTGATGAGCGATAATGTGCGCAGGGCGGAGCAAAGCAGATGAGAGCAACAAGCAGGAAAGCCCAGCCTTAAGGTGCCAAGATTATGACAGTCGCTTAAATTGTTTTGGATGTTTAAAAAAAAAAGCACATATTGTTCTTCTTAGACTTTCTGTAACTTTTTTCTTTTAAAACCTTTACAGCTTTTTTGCATGGGTTCAATACAGAAAACTTTGTTTATGGCCGAACAGGACTGAGCACTAAAACTGTGAATGCTGTTTTGATTGTCTTGCTCTCATCTTTGTAAAGACTAATTAAGTGCTGACTAAGGATTATCACATATCTCCCTTTATTTACCTGAAGTAGCGCAGTTACATTTTTCCCCCCTGTAATTTGACCTTGCATATTTGCATTTCATGCTTAAAAAGAACATAATGACTTTATATATTTTAACAGTTTTGTTTTTCATTTATCTTTGCACTAATGTGCTAGTGTCCTATGGTGTACATCATTGCTAAATTTTTTAAAGTGAAGACAGATTGTTAATTATCAAATAAAGACACATCTCTTTATCTCATACACTGCCATAGGTTTAGGGTTTTTATGCACGATTTTATTGAAGGATTTTATTTATCTATCTACACAAAAATGATCAGACAGAGATAAAATATAAAATTTTTCATAATTGATCAGTTTTCTTCATAAACATTCTTATAAATGTATTAAGAATAAAAGCAGTTTTGGATTTAAACAGACATACCTGTAATTTATTTCTTCTTATTGCCTTTCTATGTTCAGTCACTCTTGAGCTCTTGGTTGAAATTTAATAATGATTATATCCCTCCCTAGGTCATGTCACTCCTCTCATGGCTACTCCCCAGAATGACAATGTCTGGACTCTTCTACGTCTGTATCCATCATTGCTCCATCAAACATTATTCACCTGTTTATCTGCTCTCCAATGCTCCATTTCTCGGCCTCCTCCTGGAAAAAAGGGGCAAAAAACGACCAACCAGCATCAATCACCAGCAGGCCATTTTGACATTTACCTTGACTGAATATATATTCTAGATGTCTCAAATTCTTTCTTTTTCATTCATTCATTCATTCATTCATTCATTCATTCATTCATTCATTCAATTCATTTCTTCCTAGTCAAAATTAACATTTCTTCAAATATCTAAAATAACATTCTTCCTATCTAAATACACATTCAGATATCTGAAATGCAATTCTTAAATGATGTCACGTTTCCCATTGATGTGTATTGGGCTTTTACTTCCAGATATCTAAAATAAATCTTCTTCTTATCTAAAAATGAATTCTGACAAGGATGAATTCTAATTTCAGATCTCCATAATAGAGTTACTGCTAGTCATAATTACTATTTTGCATATCAAAAATGAATATAACATTACAGATATCCAGATATCTAATTCTTGACATGAAAAATATATTTCTGCTAGTACATTTATCAACTTCTTGTTTTATGACTAGTTAAATTAGAATTCCATATATTTCAATTTTAATAATGCCTATCTAAAATGTAAAAGTCTTGTAAAATGTTGCTCCTATACTGTTTACATGATGATCACTGCTCCACTTTATAATAGTAATGTTCATTTCACTATTATAAGCTGTAAGCAACATCATTTCATTTATAATACAGTGGGTGTATACAAAATGACAATAAAAGTTGTCTAAGTCTAAGCTGCAGCTGTTTGAGTAAGTTTTTGGCAAACCTGTGAAGACACTGATACAGTGGTCACTTCTAATAAAGATAAATGCATTTTTTTTCTAGATCCTGCTTGGACGTTAGTCTTTTAATCCTGGAAATGCTTTTCAGGTGATAAAAAGGCTGACGTAGTAGAGATAGACAAAAGTGACGCCTAACAGCCACATATCAACGGTTAGCTCCAAAGGCAGGTTCAAAATCTCCTCTGGAGGTCTATAAGACAGTGGACAACAATATAATCTATTAGCATTTTCTGGTGTTGAAAGAAAACTGAAATCGATTAACTTTACTTTCAGAGATTAAGATCAGAGTTAAGAGAAGATTTTTCTGAATTTGTGGTCTTTTTGGGATCTGGTAATGATAATTGGGAAGAGCTGAAACCTAAGTTCCGCACCGCTTGGAATTTGTAGTTTCTCATCATATTAGTAGCTCTTTGGACATAATGACAATTGATGTCATTGACTGAAAAATGGCTCATGCTGATAAAAGGGTGGCTAATTGCGTCACTTGAAGTAATGCGTTTTTTTGGGCTAATAGTTAGCATTTGTTTAACAAGACCAATGAAAAACGTTAAATCTGTCCTCTCAATGTCGTCCTTTACTGGTAGGGATGTTAGAACATCCTCCAGAGACTTTGGGTTATTGTCCAAATGTTCGATGTTAAATGGCATTTTTTTAGGGACCCAGATTACCTCACCCTTTACAATATACCTAGAATAGTAAAGGAATGTATCAAGCCCATCATTTAGCACAGAGGGCAATGGTTGACCCAGCAGAGAAGTAATTTTACTCCATACTTCAGGCTCAGAGCCTCCTTTGAAGATGCGTCTATTAAGGTAGAGATAGACAAAAGTGACGCCTAACAGCCACATGTCAACGGTTAGCTCCAAAGGCATGTTCAAAATCTCCTCTGGAGGTCTATAAGACAGTGGACAACAAAATAACCTATTAGCATTTTCTGGTGTGGAAAGAAAACTGAAATCAATTAACTTTACTTTCAGAGATTCATTGTTTACCAACATTATGTTGTCAGGCTTGATATCTCTATGCACCATCCCCACCTTGTGTAGAAAATTCAGAGCTACCAATACCTGTCCACCAATAACTCGAATCTCACACAAATCCAGCCGACCATGTCTGGATTTCTCCATGTATGTTTTCAAGGTCATTTCCAGCTGTTCAAAAACAAGGAATTCCTTTTCCATGTAAAATAATTCTAATAATATTTCTTTACTCACATCACTAAGATCATTTAACATACTATAACTAATTTGATCTTTCCCAGTAGATTTACTAGAATTCTTAAATGCTTTATTTAATTCT